CACTGACGCTGGCCTGCAGGGGCGAGCCTGAGGGAGCTCTGTAGTATTGCTGGTGCTTCACTCTCCAGCATGTTCTTGCCGCCTTTGGTGGAACATGTGAGCTTTCCTGTGGAACATGATCACCAGGCGGCTCTTCCAGACTCACAGGTAGATCAGATCTGGAATGTTCACTTCCCTGGGCCTTTCAACCCCTTCTGTCATCAGTCACAGTAATTCGGGCATTTTAACCTCACTCAGTGAGGCCATCACCTTTTTCCAGGCTTCTAGGAGCTGCCCTAGCAGCAAGTTTGTACCATCCTCTGTCCTTGCCACTGTAAAAGGCTATATCCCTAGAGAATGCCCCAAGTCCTTATTCTGTGGTGTGGCCCTGTCTCTTTGACTGTGCACCCTCCCAACAATCCAGGCCCATGGGTACTTCCCTCCCCCCATTCTGTGCCACTAGGTGCTGGCTAGGCCTTACAGCTCTTTTGGGGATAGCCCCTTTCCTCCCTCATCAGGCCCAGCGTGTCCCTGGCCTGGGTAGTACTGCGACTTAACCCTGGTTATAAGCCTAGCAGTTAGGAGAGGAGATGGGAGCAGCTCCTGAAAGGGGTGGGGACTGTTGCCTTATGAGAAAAAAGTCCTCTCATTTTCCTGTTCTGGGAGAAATTTTAGCTCTTAATGAGGTCAAGTCAGACATGTCTAAGGGCTCAGAAGTCTTGAGAAATTTAGAGAATTAAAATCTTTGGGGATATCTACCCAGATGATGCCATCACAGACACACACGTATGCATGTGTGTATGTATGTATGTGCATGTATATATGATAAATCTTATACAGATAAAATTATATATATGTATATATATGATGTCCCCAAAAATGTTTATTAACATACAATTCATTTTCAAAATTTAAAAGAATCTACAGAAATGCATAATTTTTTTTGGTCAACATCTGTTTTCAAACTGATGACTGTTCTGGTCCAGGCCCTGCTGATAATGTGAAGCACTGGAGTCACAAACATCAAAGCTCACTTCATTCGGTATCTGTGTGCCCATAACTTGCCAACTGCTGCCGGTTTTGTACTATAAACTTTATCTTTTGTGTATCCCCATAAAAAATCTAGTGGATAAATTTTCTTTGTTCAAAGCTTAGTCTGGCTGAAAAGAAACATCAGTTGAATGATCAGCTGTTAAAGTGTGTACATGTTTTGGGACACCCTGCATATCTATATTTATGGTTTTCCCAGTTAGGCCCTGATTTTGGCATAATAGAGCTGACTCACTGAGCATTTGACATAGTTTTTGTCAGCTCGACCGGTGTCTACAGAGCAACAGCTGCTCATTAGAGAAGCCCTGCTTTGGGTGGACAGTGTTCTACCATTGCCCCACCATGGTGCCCAGTCATTGGCTGGGGCTGCCCCAAGCATTGCATGCCCTTGACCTCAATGCTGGGGCTGAGCCTGAAAGAACTCACAGCTGAAGGCCACTGGCCAACCACACTTCTCACTGCACTGTCTCAACTGAGCTCAAAATCTCTCTCACAGAAAAGGCGTAAGAAGCTTAAGAAGAAGAAAAAATCAGCATCTGAGGCCCATTCTACTAGTTTTTAGGAAATTATCTATTTTTGTGTGTTTTGTTTCAGGTGTCTTTGCCCTGCCTAAGAAGCAGCGTCAATCTACACCATTTTAGTGCTTAATGGCACTTTTTGGGTCGCTATCTCCAAGCCACCCTCACATCACCTTTGGTCTAAATCTTGTCAGAAATCTTTGCTCACTTCACACCTTCAACAAAATAAGGCCTCCTGCCAACAGGTCATAAAAAAGACTTCTGTCCAAACTCATAGATATCGACCACAAACTGAAGGTTACCAGACAGGAGAGGGGTTGGGGGCATAGGTGAAAGGGGTTAAGAAGCACAAATTGCCAGTTATAAAAACAGTCACAGGGATGTAAAGCACAGCATAGGGAATAGAGTCAGTAATATGGAAATAATAACTACATATTATGTATCAGATGGGTACTGGACTTATCAGGTTATATGTCTAATCACTATGTTGTACGCCTGAAACTAATATAACCTTGCATGTCAACTATACTGAAAAGAACTTTTAAAAATAATCTTAAAAATATGATATAAAAAACAGCAAAAAAAGAGATTTTTGTCATTTCTCCCTCTGTAACCACTGAGTGAACACCTGAAGTATACACTCACTGACTCACTTCCCAGCCCAACTAGACCAGTCTGTCCCCAAGCACTTGGCACTCCTCCCACCTGGATCCTCTAGTTCACTCATGCCACCACCTTGCATACCTGGTTATGTCCAGATGGCATTCATCTCAGCAGGAGTCCTGCCTCAAGAAAGGTGACGCATTTAATAAGGGCCAAAGGGCTGAGAAACAAATATCCTTGAGAGCATGAAGAAAGAAACCAAAGCAAGTACGATGCCACTAGTTTTTAAGATAGAACCAACTATTTTGCTTCAAGACACTTAGATTGGCTAAGGGACTAAAATCTTAATAAAGACTGGGATGGAGAATGCTTTTCTAGGTGAACCTAGGGTTAATTTTATTTTGATTAAGCACTCAAAAATTAGATTTCCTGTTACAAAAATATGTGCTTTTGGAGAAAAATAACCATTTGATATCTATAAGTAAATATATGTGGAGGATTCATAATACCAGTGAGAGAGTAAACTTAATATGCAAAATCTACTGAATTATGATGGGTTTTTAGAAAAATACTGAGTAATTTATCCTAAAAAATTATTTCCCCAAATACTCTTGTCCATTTTAAGACAACTTGCTCAAAACCAGAATTATATTGTTTTGTCCAGTTGACATTTAAATGTCTGATCAGAGACAAATTTGGAGTAATTTAAAATTCCCCTCTTGATACATAGAGTTTTTTCCTGCTACATCAAAGTGATGCCTTTTTAATCAAATTTCACTCTAAATATTTTGAATATAAATTTGGTTTATGCCTTAGCCAATTTCTCTCATTCTTCATCCATCTTAACATTTTTCCCTTGTTTACAATACCTTTTAAATTATTCACTTACTGCAAATTTTCATCAGGAGTCTCTCTCCCCCTCTCCCCCTGAGGACCCTCCCTGGGCATCCAGGGAGGCTTCCAGAGCATGTTTGGTTTTTCCTATGAAAGATCATGCCCAACACTGTTTACCTCCATTAGTTTTGCTAGAAAGTGCCCTGGACTCACACTGCACAGTGGTGGATAGAGAGGAAAGGGAAGAAATAAAACCTAGAAAAGTCTGAGAAAGTTTCTTTAAATACTTCACGCACAGCTGTGAAGAAAACAGAGTAGAGCCCATCTGTGGCAACTGTTCAAAACTACAGAAACTAAAAGACTTCAGCAGAAACCCAGCTTTATTTAAGTGCTGGAGGCAGCAGCTTTGTTTGAGTTTTAATCCCATGCTGGTGAATGCTAATTCTGTAACATTATACAGATGCCTTTTTTTTGGGTACAAAGGTAGAAGGGGGTTTCTTTTGTGTTTTCAGTGCAAAGTGATTCCGATCAGAGAGGCTTGAGGTTTCAGCTCCAAGCACCTGACATTTCCATCTGAATCTACTTTTTTAAGAGGGGGGAGGTCTAGTTTTTCAGGAAAAGAACCTCTCTACACAATCCTGAAACTGATCTTTAGATTTACTTTTCCTTAATCAATAGAAAAAAACTTGATTGCAACTCAACACTTAGCTGACTCTAGCACAGGACTAACTGAATTTTTGGTTTTAAGAGTAGGGGATTCAGACATCATTTCAGGAATCAGAAATAATTGGCAGCAAGAGGGGGAGAACTGACATGAATTCTTGTTTTGCCTAATTTTTTCCTGGTTTACCAAGATTTGGCTTAATATTTCTGACTCAATCCCTCCCGTCTCTACTGAACAGGTTGGTGACAATTTTCATAAATGCATATATTTAAATGAATTCTTATTGCTCTCTGAACTGTTTCCCTAAGGGCTCAAGTCTCCCATGCGCACGGCTTCTCCCTCTGCTAACGCTGTGGGATCTCAGCAGAAGTCTTAGCACCATTTTCAGCAAAACTATTACTTATTGTGTGCTTGAGATTTCAGTGTGTACGCTTGACAAGTGAAGATTCACAATAAAACTCTCACAGGGCAGATTCCTGATCTTTCCATGAAATGTTGGCTGAAGAACTGTGATAGCTTCAGTGCTAAGGAAGGGCTTGCGTTCACGAGCGCCCGGAGCAGACCGGGTCCAGCTGGCGTGGCTCTGCCGGGCGGGCCAGGCTGGGAGGTGGCCGGGCAGCCTGAGGGCGGGCTGGCCGCTGTCCCCGCCGGCCAAGCAGCCTGTTCAGCTGGTTCTAAGAGGAAAACGAGTTCACTTTTGTGAGGTTCCTTAGTTAACTTGCTGGGACTAATTACTTGCTTGTGTGCTGAGTTCTATTTTTATTGTAATTCCAAGGGGCAGCCCTAGTATGTTTATCTTCTTATTACCAGTGTACCTGCCATTCACCCACCATGCGAAGTCAGCGCTTCAAAGTGGTGGGTTGGCCACAGTATAGAGAAGGTGATGGCAAGCTCTGAATTTTCCAACCGTAGACGCGCATTGAGTTTTAGTTGACGTTTAGCCGAACCTTCCTGAAAGCTGCTGTGCCGACCGGAGGAGCGGGGTCTCGCAGAGAGGCAGCCCGAGACCTGCATCCCCGGAGCCGGCGCCCTGCCTCGGCCCCCAGCAGCTGCAGAGTAGATGGCTCTTCTTACTCGTTGCTGTTCTCAGGGATTCTGTGTAATTAACTGTTAATTTGAATGATCTCATTACACTTTCAAATTGGCTCCACGGGGAGATCTAATTTGTTCACGAAGCGTTGGACTTCGGGGGACCTGCCAGCGCGCGGGGAAGCGCAGCCTGACTCAGGACTGCCGTGTGAATCTGTTCCTCGGTGGCTGTGATGTGCCATGGGATTTGCCACTAAGCACACCTGGTGTTCTGTTTACTCTGGCAAGCTGAGGATTTTTCCTTTTTCTTTTTAAAATTTCAGGATGAATTATTCATCATTACTTAGGATTTGGGTCTCTTTTATCTTCGCACTTGTACAGCACCAAGGTGAGTACTGTAGAGTTTTGTAAAACTCTTGATTAGCATGCTCTTGAATTTATAAAGAGACACTTTTGTTGGAATAATAATTGTCAGGGCAGGTGTACATGTGACTACAGATACAACAAGAAAAATACAAATTAAATTTTGTTGTCCAAACCAAAATGCATTAAATTGGAATAATGTTTATTTATATTCCTATTTTTCTTATTTAACTGTGAACACAATTTGTATATACCAGAGTGCCCTGTGTTAATGTCCTGGGTCTTTAAGATAATGCAAATTATTTTCATTAAAAGCATATAGGGCAGGTGTGTATGCAGCCCTATACCTGATGATTGGTCCCCATTAAGGCATTTAACCTGTGGCACAGACTTTAAAGAATACACTTGTTTTAGCCCAAATCAGGAAGTTCCAATGGCATTGATGATGGTGACCTGTGTGTCAGTGGCCTTTACAATGGCCAGAAACCTGAAACTGTAAGTGAAACAAAAACATTATTGCCCTCAGTGATTCCTTCTTTTTCTCTGTGTGGCATTGCCCAGGGAGGGTGAGAAGCCACATACATTTCTTTCCACTGTTTCTGGATTTTAGAAAAGAAAGGTGGGGAAGTCTACATGGATTTGAAACCTTTATGGCAAAAATTCTAAAGCATCTTTGTTTGTTATGTTGGTTTGTTTTGTTCACCTGGCACATGATTGCAAGTCTGAGTAAACAGATCTATAAGGCACGTGTAGCCCTAACATTTTTCTAGGGTTGGGTAAATTTTAACAGTAGGATCATGCAAACTACAGGGCAACACCCCACAATAATGAAAGAATCCCACTGACTTTAATCTCCTACCCCTGCTCTAAGAAAGTACGTTTTATTTGGTGAGAAAAAACACACAAAGTCCAGGGACTGTAATGTTTATTATGAAATTCTCAGCCTCAGCAAGCATGGGAAGGGATATTGTTTCTTTCATTAACTCTGATGGTATTAAACAGGCCATGCTGGTAATACCTTATATTTTTTAGAATACTAATGACTTCCAAGGTGGAAATTACTGTAGTTTAAACCTACTCCCTTTTATTAAGCACCTTTTCTTATTTAACAAGTATTTAAGTATTTACAGTATTATATATTACAATATTATATACCTTTATTATTTGTATTCTTCTTAAAATTGAAAAAATTTTGACTGTCTGTTTTTTCCTGTTCAAAACCATGCACTAATTAGGGCCACTCATGAAGAGAAAAATCTTGCAAACTTACCTTACCGCTGGGACAGAGAGAGAAGTCAGGGACAGCCTTCGTGACCACAGCTCTCTGCCATCTCCACAAGAGGCATGGAGTTTCCATAGGCACATTGGCCAACACTGCCCAAAACACCAATTAATCTTTCCACGGAAATGATTACAACTCAGTGTGAACATAAGCCCTATTCATATGTGGGCACCACTTCTAAATGGTTCCTCATGAAGGCTAAATCCACGACATGATTTCATTTATTAGTAATTTGAGGAAGTGTATCACCTTCCAAGTTTAATAAGTAACTGTGTATAATGTTACAATAGGTATTATAAAGAGATTTTTTAATATTCCCACTTTCTAGGAATTTTGAATTTGTAACTTCTGTGTAAATACGAATGTTCAAGAGCCCTTGTTGCCTCCTGACTGCAACTTTAAATAAAGCAGGTCGGCTGGTGGTCCTGTGTTGAATTAGCTGCAGCACCTCCTGAAGGGAGCTCTGATCGGCTCCCAAGACTGGGCTTGGGGAACAAAGCTCATAAACTAATGAGCAGGCGAGTTTCCCTGCTTCCCTTTGATGTTAGCCCTGGAAAAAGATGAGCTCTCCATCCAGGCAGATCACCTCTTGTTCCTGTTCCAGAAGTGAGGGCGGGTGCCCGGCCGGGCTCGCCTGTGCAGCCTTCTGGTCACTGTGCATTCTCACTCGCTGACTGGCGCCCGATCCTCGGCCAGGTGCTTGCCAGCTTATCTGCTCATTCAGCACAGAGCAGGGACTTTCCCAAGGACAGGCCCAGCCCGAGTGTGAGGCATTAGCATCTGGATAGCAGCAGCAGGGCCTCAGGAACTGAAGCTGGAAGCTCCAAAGGAATTAGCCACTGCCCCGAAGACTAACAATTAAAAAAGGGAGCAAAGATGATGTTCTATTGCTCTATTTTCTCTCAAGAGAAGAGAGGACAGAGGCGGAGAAATGTTACAGCCAAATGTAGATTATTTTATTGGACGTGGTTATCAGTAATGTAGACACTTGGGAAATTGCTAAACTAGGCGACCCCCTGAGGCATTTTGGAGAAGAAACAAGCCAGGCTGCCAGGAGAAGCGGTGGCAGTTACGTGAGGGCTGTGTGTTTGTGGGCTGGCTCTCGCCTTGACCAGGGTGTTGAGTAAGAGCCTCAGTCTCCTCTCCAAAGAGTTCCGCAGGGCCCGACGCCCGCGCCCCAGAGGATGCCATGCTGCCTTGCAGAGAGGAGCTGGGCAAAGCGCCACCTCTCGGGGCTGGGTCTCCATCGAGGCCATTCACAGGCCAGTTGCTACAAACCCTCTCCTCCCGTTTTGTCCCAGTTCCAATAGCCATTTATTTCCTTCTGGGATCTGGTATCTTCTATTATGCAGCAGGAGGGAGGAGGCTCCCTTCTGGAAAAGACATGATAATAAAATTTTGGAGATAGGAGGGAGTTGCGTAGCCACAAGCCACCTTCTCTGTACCTTGCCTTCCGATCAAGGACCAAGCTGCCTACGCCGTGTGGGGCCTAGAGGCCACCTCAGTGCTCTGAGAGCTCCAGACGGTGGTCTCACTGCTCCCAGCCAGTTGTGAACATTTCTCTCTGTGCAGCGTATGGAAGCGCAGAGATGAAGCGTGAACTGACTTCTAAGGCGAAATGGCACCACTCTCCCCTTTCCAGAGGCAGAAGAGTGTGCGGATGTACGGCCTCGGTTTAGGGTAAATGAGAGGAAGTCTGACTTGCTTAGTCCGTGAGACTTTCTGAAAGAAGCTGGCTTTCGTGCGTGGGAGGAAAGTGGCCTGCTCCGTGGAAGAGGGGTCTGCCATCTGTCTAACCACCGTCTCTCTTGACAGTTCAGCCCAGGGAGCTCATGTATCCGTTTTGGCAGAATGACACCAAAACCCCCAAAGTAGACGATGGAAGCTCATCGGAGATTAAGTTGGCCATTCCCATTTTCTTCTTCGGCGTTCCTTACCGCACGGTCTATGTAAGTGACATGCGGCCTCGCTGTTGCCCCGTGGCTTTTCCCTTTGTTTGTTATAAGTACGTTTTCTTCCAGGGCTCCAGGAATGGAGGGGATTTATTGGCAGCACAAAGGACAGGCTGGGATATCAGGTTTTATGATTAAGGGAGTCAAAGGTATTGTAATGGCTCATGTTCATAGTATACAGGACAATACATTTCTTTTCTGGGTGATTAAACACAGAAGTGAAGCAGAGGCTTCAGAGTGATGGACATTATTTCTGCTACTCAATACGATAAAAAGATATGATGAACCGCAGCAGGAGCAGTGTCATTTTTCTTTCCCCTTTGGGGGTGTGACAAGTTTAAGTGTCTGTTGTTCTCAGGCTTCCTGCCAATCGGGAGCAGAGTCAGAGCGTAGTGGGGGATAATCAGCTGTTACATAAACGTTGTTTGCAGAATTGCCCCCCTCCTGGCATTCTGAGGTATGCCATAGGGTCCCATTGTCAAACGTGCATGAAGAAATGGTACCGTTTGCTGTCAAAACTCTCCTGGCACCTGTGTTCTCATGTTACCTTTTTGGTTCCTTGGGTTTGGTGTGACTGAAACTGTTGCACACTGAGAAAAAGGTTAGGAGCAACTGAGCCTGTTTTTATCTTTGGCCTTAAAGGATTGGGGGTGGCCTGTGTATATATCACATCCTATCCTATCCTGTGTCCTGGCCTGCAGGAAGAAATGAAGCTCCAAGCACCTATTCCTCTGGCCATCTCTGCATCTGGGACTCCTGTTTTCCCCAACTTGTTGTTTTTTTTAAATCCTCACCTGAGAATATTTTCCCATTGCTCCTAGAAAGAGTGGAGGGGCGGGTGGAGAGGGAGAGAGAGAAACATTGATGTGAGAGAGACACACCCACTGCTTGCCTCCCCTATGTGCCCCAACTGGGCCGGGGATTGAGCCTGCAACCCAGGTACATGCCCTTAACCAGGTAATCAAATGCAACCCTTTGGTCCATGGGCTGATGCTCTAACCACTGAGCAAACCCAGCCAGGGCCCCAACTTTTGATTTATAGCTCAGGGCTGACTCCCACTAGAAAAATGGTTTCCTGTTCCATTGCCTAACCAGGGATCCTTGAATCTGCAAAGTCACTATCACCAGGGTACTTACTAGAAATGTCAATTCTCAGGCCCCATCCAGACCTACTGAGTCAGCAGCTCTGGGAAGGGAACCAGTGGTCTGTGTTTTAACAAGCCCTCCAGGTGATTCTGATGTCTACAAAAGTTTGAGAATGACTAATCTTTTTCTTTTTTTTAATTTTTATTTTTGTTTAAAGTATTACAGATGTCCCTTTTTCTCCCCAATGACCCGTTCCCCCCCATTCCTTCCCCCTCCCC